AATAAGTGGAAATAAGTATGTACTTTAAATTTAATTTAATAGCATAGCTCATGATTGATTAATAATATTTTTGATGAAACTATTTTAGTATAAAAATGTATTATTTAAGGACTTTACTCTTAATGTAAGCTTTTTATCAAAAATGAGTAACATATAAGAAGAGTAGCACTTCCTGTACAAAGAATTGAAATATTTATAGATAATTTCATATATTTCTAAAGTAATTATTTTTAAATGAAATAGATTGAATTGCACTAAAATAGTTTTTTTAAAAAGCATATCCTAATGTTTAACAATTTCGGCATTCTGAAGGATTTTTCTTCTGACTACAAGTTTACCATTTGGTACAATTTGTTTCCTTAATAAATACTGTTCTGTCATCTTTATTATTTTGAAGTTGCTGATACATCTTCAAATCTTGTATTTGTTCACACTGTAACCCTATATTTAAAAAGGCAGTTTGTAAAACTTTCCTTGTTTAACAAATAAAATTATAGTTCAGGAAAACATTGTGTGATATTATAAAACAGCTTCACAGCAATTTTGAAGTATATTTTCAATGGAATGAAAATTCTATAGGAAATTCATCTCTAAAATTACAAACACTAAGTAAAGATAGTGTTTTTGCTATGACAATATTTTAGGTGTGATTAAAAGCTTGAGTTTTAGAGCTGGGGTTGTGGCTCAGTAGTAGAACACTTGCCTAGTATGTGTGAGGCACTGGGTTTGATTCTCAGCACTGCAGCCCAACAACGGCTAAAAAATTTTTTTTAAAAAAGCTTGAGTTTTATTGTTTTGCTGTGTAAATGGACAATTTGAGCAGTTTATTCTATCATTGCATTTACTGATTCTTTTGTTATCATATAAACTCTCAAATTACTAGAGCTACAGAAAATAAATTGAGGAGTAAAAAACACATCTGTGAAGGAATCACATATTGGCATTCATTGAAAAGTCATTACTTTGTCCTATGATTACCAGAAATCAAAAAAGAAAATAAAAAGCAATTTAATATTGTCAATGTATAATCATTCTAAAATTACTTATCTATATGAAAATAAAATTGCAAGAGACTCTTGCTTCAAAAAATTGATATTAAACTTACTGATGGGCTCCTAGAACAGAAAAATTATAACTAAAAGAACGTTGACAGTTTTTTTCTCTTTTCTGTGACATTAACGTTATAGATTTTGTTTTTTTTCAACAGTCTGCTGCATATTTTCAGGTGATGATAGAAATCATCCAATCAGTCTCTTACGTATGTGCTGAAAGTATGTTATGAAGAGAATGCTTTATTTTCTAAAGAAGTCACTTCTTTGCCACATAATCTGTGTTCTGCTCAAGATTTGTTCTGGTTCTTTAAAAAAAAAAACTTTTTTTTTTTGGTTCTTTAAAAAATGTCAAGGTCTATATATACTGTGTTTTGATAAGTAATTTAATATGTAAAATGCTTTGAATGACTCTCCTGGTATGTATAAAAAAACTGTTAAACGGGTCAAAATAGAAATCTCATGATGTATGGTAATACGTCATTGGATTTTCATCAATATACCCAACACTATGGGTCTGGATACAGAAACTTTTTCAAAGGCCTTCTCATATTGTATTACTTAACAGCAGATACAGCATAAGTAAAGCATGGACAAAAAATTCAACATTTTAATGAAAGTGACCAGAACAAATTTTTAGCAGCAAAGCGTTTACATCAATTTAAGTGCAATGAATTAGTTACTTTGGGTATGTTTGGTGTTGAGGTAGATAGTACAGCCTTTAAATAACAGCCACTTTTTAAGACCGTAGCTATGTTCACTTTTTAATCAGAATCATCATTTTCAGTGACCTTCACGTAGATAATTTAAAATCTAACACTGAGAATAAAACTAAAGTAAATAACACTTAGGTTTTTTTTTTAATGTAAGCTTCAGATTTCTTCTGCATAATTTTGCTAGTTCTTGAGATTTTTAAGCTTTTTCAGTGAATGAAATTTTTTAAGTTATAAAAATATTAATAAAATTTTTGTTTCTCAAAATTCCAATGGGACAGTGACAGAATTATTCTACTTACCTAGTACGTAAGAGATAAATAAATGAGAAAAATTAGTTTAGTACACTTAATAGACACAAAATATCCACGGTATTGGTTATTAGTGTTACTAATCAACGTGTTTGCTTCCATTTTAAAATTTATCTTAAATTTTATTTTCAGTTTTTTAAAAATTGATATGTATAACACAATTTGTTTAGACAATGTATTTTTATTTTGAAAAAATAATTTCCTAATTAGCACAAAAGCTATCATGTGGAGCTCGGACTCTTATTTTGCTTGACAGATTTTACTCTAGTATTTTGCCTGTTTTGATCTTAGCAACAACCATGTATATTTGATGTAGATTCTTTGAGGTCACCTAATTATATACGCAGTTCCCAGTTATTATTATTATTTTTTAACACATTGTCATTTTTTGTTCTTCAAGACCCTTTGTGGCTACGTTTGCAGTTATGTATGTAGGCTAAAATGTGGTGTCAAGTGTGTGCTAAAAGAATTATCTTTCTCCTATAAATTCCGTGGTTCGTAGACTAACATTTCTCAATGTTGATTTCATTTTTCCCCCTAAGGACTTTTTAAATTTTTCCTTTGAGTGCTCTGTCTTTGGTTTTAAAAATCTAAATACATTTTGTGATTTGTTTCAGAGCTAGTTTGTCCTTCCCTTAGCGTGGCCCTTAAGTTAACTAAAACCCTTCTTTCTATTGATAACTCTCCTTTACAATTCTGATGATTGTGGCTTTCTAATTTCTCACTGATATAGTAGATACATATTAGGATTTAAACTGCTAAGCTGAAGAGGTAATCAAAATGCAATTCATTGAGCAAAGAGTAGAATTTAATAAAAAGCTACCTGTCACTCATTTTTACTGGACACTGTTGGTTCTAAAAGTCCCATTTCTCTTGTCATTTTGGGAAAGGTTCCCACCAAACTCTTCAATCATTTTTTTTTTTTTTTTGTACTGGGGATTGAACTAAGGGACACTCAACCACTGAGCCACATCCCCAGACCTTTTTTGTATTTTATTTAGGGGCAGGGTCTCACTGAGTTGCTTA